TTTCATCATATATTTAGGTTACGGAGAAGGGCTAACAAGGAATAAGATAATAACAGAAGCTCCTTGATAAGGAGATCTGTTTAAAATGGGGTCCTCTAAATTACGCTATAAAGCTGGCTTAAGATTCATATTTCATTCTGAGCAATAATTTTAATCTAACTCTGAGTCCACAAATGCTGGCAATGTATTTGAATATTGCTTTCTGCTGTCTGATTCATAATGAGAAGCAATGCTGACAGTTTTATGCACTGCCCTGATTAGCTGAGAAAAAAAAGACATGACAATTCAGTGAAGTACATTTTTTAAAAAACCTTTAGTATGGATTCATTATTGGAAAAAAATCCATATGCAAACAGTGTGATCCAGAATACACTCAGAGAGGATAAAGTTCCATGGACTGAATCAATAAGCCTATGCTTGGCTAATTACATTTTGGATGGTAACCAAAGAAAACAGTTGGATACAAAATGAGAAACACTTCAGAAGACATTAAGGCAAATACTGTAACAACTGACTCTTGCTCCTCTGAATTTATCATCTCATTTCAAAAAGCAGGCTTTGAATATTTTGCAGACTGTCACCCAGGTAGTGAAATTTATTTGATTTAGCATGCAACAAAAATGTACACAAGGACATTTTCTGCTAAAATTGTAGTAAGTCAGCAAGCTAACATGCATAAGGGATGCCTTTTATTTGCGTTAAAAAAAATCCCATAATACATATCAGTAATAACATAACCTAGAGATTCTCCAGTATATTAAATGGACTGGAAAATGATGGACAAAAGGTCTGAAGAAAAAAAAATGCAATAGTACTTAGACCTTCCATAAAGGTTTAAGACCTCATCCACCACACCCCAAACTGCTATAAGATAGAATAACAGAGTTGGAAGGGACCCTGGCAACTCAGTCATTGTGTACAGGTTTCCAAACACCCAGAACATTATTATCTGACTTGAAATGGCAGCATGATATTTTACAACAGCCAGAACTCTTCCCAAGCTGTAGAAAATTCAGGCAGTCATTCAACAACCAATCATAAGTCAAGGGTTATCATTGTTTTTGTAACCTTGATATTGCAGTACACCTGAGCAATCACATCAATTTTTTTTTAAGATTCTGTTTTATTTGTACCCTCTCAACAATTCTCTTAAGCAGTCATGCTGCTTTTTAAAAAAAAATGGTCCAAAAAGAAATACATTGATGCATCGATGAATGTGTAATCACTGTGACATTTGCCCAGAGGAAGCAGAATACAGAAATAGGAAAGAGGCTGCCATGCACAAAAAAAAAAAATGACTCTATAACACACTGTAAATGGATTGTAACTTGAAGAAAGTTTGGAAATGAAAAAGAAGAATTGATGGCATTAGAAATTTTAAAATTTAGTGAGAAAATCTGATAAGAAGAATTTTTGGTCATAATAATAATACTAATAAAAGTAACATTAACAAAAAGTCTGGATAGTGGACTAGCAGTACCTGGAGGCAGCAGAATTGAAAAGAAAGACTTGGAGAAGATAACAAAATCCAAATACCTGCAAATAGAAATAGGACCACTATGGCAAAAAAACAAAACAAAAACAAAAACCAAAGATAGCACTAATAATAATAGGTACCTTGGGTATAATCCCAAAACAACTGGAGCACCACTTGAATACCATCCGCATTGACAAAGTCACCACCAGACAATTTAAAAAGGCAGTTTTGCTTGGAACAGCTTACATCCTATATTACCATCAAAGAACAACATCTGCTTATCTCAGGTGCTTTGGAAGGACTCAATAGGTGAATAAAAATACAGTGTAAACATCTAGCTGACTGTGTGACAAACCATAATAAAAAATAACAACAACTGAACAGGGGTAATAATCCATTTATTACGGAGTGCACAGAACTCTCCAAATAAGTTTTTCATGGATTTTCTACTCAGAAAAGCTTCCATCTTTCTTTGGAATAAGCATCATTGCATCTTTCAATGGGGCAAATAAATTGCAGATTCAGAATGAATAAGTGAATAACAGAGTAACAGAGTTGGAAGGGACCCGGGAGGTCTTCTAGTCCAACCGCCTGCTCAAGCAGGAAACTCTATAACATTTCAAACAAATGTTCTCCAATCTCTTCTTTAAAACCTCCAGTGCTGGGAGGACCCACAACTTCCAAAGCCAAATCCTTCCACTGATTAATTGTTCTGTCAGGAAATTTATCCTTATTTCTAGGTTGGTTTTCTTATTGATTAGTTTCCATTCATTTCTTCTTAGAACATAGAATACAGAATAGGGTTGGAAGGGACCTTGAAGGTCAAATAGCTGTCCAATCCCTTCTTAAAAACCTCCAGTCTTCAGCATCTTGAAGGCAGTCTTGTTTAGAGCTCCCTATTTTTTCTGGCAGCCCCTAAAATATTGGAACTGCTGTCATATCACGCACAATGTCACCATGAGCCATGGCGGCACAGTGGTTAGAGTGCAGTACTTCTACTGACTGCCAGCTGACTGCAATTTGGCAGTTCAAATCTACCAGGCTCAAGGTTGACTCAGCCTTCCATCCTTCCAAGGTGAGTAAAATGAGGAGCCAAATTGTTGAGGGCAATATGATGACTCTGTAAACCACTTAGAAAGGGCTGTAAACAGAGGTGATATTCATCCAGTTCTGGAGAACTGGTAGCGGAAATTTTGAGTAGTTTGGAGAACTGGCAAATACCACCTTTGACTGGCCCCGCCCCCATCTATTCTCTGCCTCCCAAGTCCCAGCTGATCGGCTGGGTCTTCTTTTGTTTCCCTGCACAGGAGAACGGAGCTGGAAAGCAGGTTACTGGGGTGGGGACGGAATGGAGTTTTTACAGTATCCTTCCCCTGCCATGCCCACTAAACCACGCCCACCAAGCCATGCCACACCCACCAAGCCATGTCCACAGAACCGGTAGTAACAAAAATTTGAATCCCACCACTGGCTGTAAAGCACTGTAAAGAGGCATATACTATTGCTATTGCTAATTCTTCATTAAATTAGACAACTGACCATTTTCAGACATGTCTGTGTTAAGACTCAGTCAATGTTTCTCTTGGAGGTTACATTGACTTAGCCATTAAAATGTGCCCATTCAATCCAAATGTTATGATTTATTTTCAGCGTACATTTTCACATAGCTTCTTCTTCAAGAATTCATTTAGCAGCTGCAGTTTTTCTTTCTTGGTTGCTGGATTTAATGAGACAGCTTAGGATTGACATTACTTTCAGTCCACTCAGTATCTTATCATTTATATGATACAGGTACAAAACAGTATACAATTATTTTATAATGTGGCATTTCATATTAAAATGAAAGCGAAGTAATTCATTTGAATCCTGTTATTAATTTTAATCTAGGCATAAATTAGGTTTGTGAACTCAAAAGATAGGTAAGGCCTTCTTTTGATTTATACATTAATTAGCATAAATCCACTATTCCTTTCATATTTAATGTGCAATTATTCTCCCTAAGTGCAGCAGCTTCAGGCTTTAGCTTAGTCTCTTACAATTTCAGCATGAAATCAGAAATTACAGATTCCAAAACACAGTTTTGCCAATCCGGATGGGCAAAATACACCCAACTGCCAAATCATTGAGGCTATGCCAAATATTCCTTTGTTCCAAGTTTCAGGGCTGGAGCAGAATTATTTCCCCAAAGCTCCATTCAGCATAAGAATATTCATGTTATGTTTCATTCCAATTTGCTGCTATAATTTTTCTTCTTGAGGGTTGGGACTTTCCCTTCCCTTCTCTGCTTTCCAGAAAAGGATCAACGCTCACAGCTCTCACCTTGAAAACCCCAAGTTTATCCCTTGCATGCCAAGGTTTTTAAAATAACACTAGGCAACTCGTCCCTCACTGGGCCATTGTTGTTTCCTCACGTAAACAGAGAAACAGAATGACCATAGGTGGGAGTGGGAACAGCTTCCAATTTCCTGCTGGCTTCCCCTTTAAGTTTCCTTGTGGGAAGCTGGCAGAGAGCAACAGAAATCTTTCCTCCCTCCCTCCCTCCCTCCCACCCTCCCCTTCTCCCTCCCTCCCTCCCTCCCTCCCTTCCTTCCTTTCTTGGCTTATCCCTCCCATTTTTTCAAACTAATGTTGCTGTTCATTTTTCAGTGTGAACATTTTGGCCAATTGTTCTCATTTACAGAGCAGATTTTTTTGGTGCGACACTCAAAAATTCTTGATTCACAATTATTCCCGAATTTTGGTTTCCCTTTGCTTTCCTTGCCTAATTTGGTAGCTCGGTGATGACTTGTTCCATCTTTTCTTTTCCATATAATATTCAAGACCAGCTTGTTCAATGATAACAACAGCAAAATAACTTCATCCATTATTTGAAATGCAAACACAGAAAATATTGGTCTCTGCTTAGGAAGAGAAGGCTGTAGGCTGCATTACTTAGAAGTAGCTAGCTTCAGTTAATAAAGCTCCTCTTCAGTGATCACTATATAATCCTGAAGTTATACTGGGTCCTTCACACAGGATAAACTCAGTCACACTTGGTGTAATGAAGAATAAGTGACTGCACTGTCTGACAAGTAAGACTCTGCAGCAAGCAAAGCAAAAGGAAGGTGTGATAATAATCACAAAATATAGCCAGAGATGGTGAACAATATGAAAGAGCTTTATTATTAAGCTTTTGCAAAAGGGAATTCTGCTCATGGCAGAAGACATTTTCCACAGGAGGGCTGGAGTTTATATATTGATTCAAATATACAGCCTCTGCCCCTTACCTGGGTTCACAATCTATCCAACTATGTATCTCCCTACGCCACACCCATATTAACACCTGTTTCCTTTTCTTTGGAAACTACCCTTGTTCTCATGGCTTCTTCCTATTATGTTGTTCCCATGGCTTCTAAGCACAATGGATCATTAACAGAAGTCAGAAGGCCATCACACAGCCCATTACTCTGGTCGTTACAACACAGGAGCCTGATAGACACACAGCAAGCACCTTAGTCACACAGGCTCTTACAAAAAAGCCAACCAATCTGCAAACTTCAACTCCATCAACCAATCAAAAAATAACAACACAGCCAACCAGCCCGCTTACAACAGAGCCAGCATACCACACCTCCTCACCAGTATTTCTAGAGAGACGGCAGCTTCGATCACGCTTTGCTCGCACAAGCATGAATCCGAAAGCACCAGCCCGACGATGGCAAGTGGGACCTCGTCGAAACATCACCAAGATACTCTCAATCTTACATGGGATAAGACTCAAACACGCCAAGACCTGAATACCTGTACCAGTGAATATATGTGTGTGTGTGTGTGTGTGTGTGTGTGTGTGTGTGTGTGTGTATGTGTTTTCTTAAGTTTTTGTGGGTACTTACATGTATGGTATTCAGCTTTCAGGTATTTTCCCACATCATTATAGTTGTGCTTTTAAAGTTGTAGCAACGTTTCGGCAGAATCTCATCTGCCATCATCAGGCTTCTGTACAGTGTTTGTGAAAGTCTGTGAAAGTCTGTGAAAGTCTGACTCACAGACGAACACAATACAGAAGCCTGATAATGGCAGATGAGATTCTGCCGAAACGTTGCTACAACTTTAAAAGCACAACTATAATGACGTGGGAAAATACCCGAACAAAGCTGAATACCACACACACACACACACACACACACACACACACACACACACACATATAACAGAAGGCAAATGAAACTATTGCTGCATGGCACAGACTTATAAAACCAGAGATTTGTTTTGTAAACTATAAACAATATCTATTCTACTCACACTGATTTCCAATATCTTGCAAATAAAACTCATTTTTTTCCTTACTGATGCTTTGGGAGGGAGGGCAGGGAAGGATGCTGACAATGAACAGGTACACAGTTCACATTTATTCTCAGTGAGATCCTCAAGGGAATATTTCCCCCCACCTTCCTATCACTAGGTAGTCTTCACAGATCCAGGCTTGTATCCAGTGGCATTGTAATGTCATCCATTTAAATTGAGTTTTAAATCTAAGGATGCTTTTATCTCTGACAGGATAATCATGGTCAGTGGAATCATGATGACTGAGAGTGACTCTGAGCTGTCATGGATCAATCATTTGCACTTGCAGAGTCAATGGTTCCTCCGCTGCTCCTGAGGTTGTTGCTAACAATATAGAAGACTTTAACTTTATTTGCATATTTAAAGAATGCCAAAAGGGATTTGGTGTGCATTGAGCTCTCTGACATTCACTTGAGTAGACAACCAATGTGCTTTATTACCTTTTTCAGTAGCTTGACTATCAGAGCTATTTAGCATCTCGAATGTTTTTGTTGTTGTTGTTGTTGTTAGTCATGAAGTCTGACCCATCTCAGCCCCATGGACAATGTTCTTTTTGCCTTTTGCTACTGTCCATGGGGTTTTCATGGCAAAGATATGGGAGTGGGTTGCCATTTCTTTCTCCAGTGGATCATGTTTTGTCAAAGCTCTCTATTATGACCTGTCCATCTTAGGTAGCCCTGCATGGCATAGCTCATAGCTTCATTCAGCTGTGGAAGCCCCTTTGCCACGACAAGGCAGTGATCCATGAAGGGGATCTTGAAAGTTACTATTGCTTAAGGCTTCACATGTTATCTATTTAATTTGACCACCTATAAGTTTTATCTTGGCTGTTGTTATGCTATTGTTGTGCGGACTCAAGACTCAGTACTCCAGTTCATGCTCCTGGGTCAAATCTTACTTTCTGCATGCTCAGGGGTGAAGCTGCCCAGCAGTGAACAAATGAGTACCCGGCTGACATTTAGCAATAGCAATAACACTTAGGCTTATAGACCTCTCCATAGTATTTTACAGCATTCTCTGAGTGGTTAACAAGGTCAGCATATTGCTCCCAAGAAGTCTATATTTGACTGACCTCAGAAAGATGGAAGGCTGAGTTAATCTTGAACCCAACGGTTTTGAACTCCAGACTGTGGGCAGAGTTTGCCTGCAGGACTGCATTCTAACCACTGCACCAGAAGTGGTATTCATCAGGTTCTGATCAGTTCTGGAGAACCGGTAGTGGAAATTTTGAGTAATTCAGAGAACTGGCAAATACCACGTCTGACTGGCCCTGCCCTCATCTATTCTCTGCCTCCTGAGTCCCAGGTGATCAGCTGGCTCTTCGTTTGTTGCCCTGCATAGGAGAATGAAGCTGGAAAGCAGGTTAGTGGGGTGGGGAGGGAATGGGATTTTGCAGTAACTTTCCCTCAGGAGTGGGGATGGAATGGGGATTTTGCAGTTTCCTTCCCCTGTCATGCCCACCAAGCCACACCCAACAAACTGGTAGTAAATTTTTTTGAATCTCACCACTGCACTGCAAGGGCTCCTACTGATATTAGCCAAGATACTGTATATATTATAGAGGAACTAGAACAGGGAATATTGTTTTGTCTGTATTACACTCTTTCTTTATAGCTGCCTATCAGGGTGGTGTAATATCTTATCATGCTATTCTACTTCTTTTTCCTTTGGTATCTAATGAAGTAACTTAGAATATTTCCAGGAAGATACAAACTTAAGTTCTGTTGACCAAGAGAGGTTATCTTTAAAATAAAAAAGTTTACCAATCACCTATTGTCTATTAATGATGCTACCATGCCAGAAACTCCACCTATCAGCAGCTCTCCCTTCTTCAATATCAAGTTAAACCTGACATCTTCCCAAAACAGTCAAAAATGGCTTGCTATTTAGGCAGTTATTGAAATATTTTATATTTAAAATTGATAAGGATCTTGCAGTATTGATTCAGCACAAGTCAGCCCTTAGCTTGACATTATAAGGCTGCTGTTGTTTTGTTACTTCTGCCTCAAAAGAAGGGATAATACTGATACTTCCATAACCAGGTGAAGTAAAAATGGTCAGAATGAACATCCTGTACATATCTTCCTTTTGTTTTGGAGAAAAAAAACTCCCCTTCTTTTCTCATCCACTTATGTTAATTGACCACATATGACAGAAAATATAAATGGATTAATATAGAAATAATGACATCATGAGGTAAAATATTTGAAAAATGCTTTTTGGGTCCTTTAAAGATGAGAAGCAGGAAAGGAACCTGGCCTTTGGACTACTAACTTGAACATTGGTTGAAATCATTACATAATTCATAGTTGGTCCCTTCAATTAGAGTAGATGATTTTGTCTCTGGGTCCATCCTGAAACAAAGCATTCTAGGCATAAAAGGCTAATTCAGGTCCATCCTGAAACAAAGGATTCTAGATGTAGAAGGATTATACAGTTTATCTCTATGATATAGTGATTAACAACCAATTTTCAAAATACAAATCAACCAGCTTTCTAGACCAAGTCACTGTTTTAAAACTCAGAAGTTTGTCCTCGGCTCAATGCTATTCCCATAAGAGAATTAAGAAAGAAATACTGGAAAATACCCATTCTAAATGACAATGACCCATGATTCAAGTGCAATACAATCTAAAGCCTATATTTTGTTTTTCTGCAAAACTATGTATTCATTTGTACTTGATTTCTCTACTCCTTTCTGAATTCCCAGGAAATTCTTACTTATTTACTGATATCTCCCAGTAGACAACAAAGAGAATTCTGTGTTCTTAAACGTTGCTAAGTTTTGTTTCACAGTGTGTAAACTCTACCCCGCTATGAGCAGTAATTGTTAATTGTTATGCATTGTGGTGGTATTGGAGATTTTATGATACTAAGTTAAAGCTCTTAACCCCAAGAAAACTCCCCAGACAAAACAAGGGACAGGCCCAGCCATATGGTATTAAATCAAGCAACTTTCCTATTTAAAAACACTTTCCCAGGGAAAAACAAAAAGAACTGTCAGCTTAGCAACAGAATTTCCAGAAAGTTAAGGAATGTTAATAAACTGGGAGGTGAGTAGAGCTCTGGAAAAGCTAAAGAGAAGAATTTTCTAAAGCTAAATTATCTGTATGGAACACAGATAATCTGCCTCTTTATTCTTTCAAAACTCCATTGATTTGATAGTCCAGCCTCATTACCTCCCAGTTCCATTCCAACACCCTATTGAAAGATGATTAGGGGACTGGAGGCTAAAACATATGAAGAAGTCTCTTCTGACTCTGTTATTTTAAACTCACTAGTCAGATGGTGCCTTGTGTCCAATTAGATACCTGGTTACTCTATCCAATCGCGTATACCATATATTCTAATTTATACACATCTCGAAAGAAAGACTCTAATCGCCCCCCCCCCTATTTGGCAATGTCTTTTCCTCTAGTGCTCTCAATAAATCAATATTTGTTCCTGTGAAATGTCTTCTGAGGTCTGATTCAAATGTACCTCTAAAATACTCTGTTAAACGGTCTTGGTCTTTTTTTGTTTTTCTTTGTGTCTATAATAAAGTCTTACATATAACATAAATCTTCAGTCAAAATCATGGTATGTAGATGGAACTGGGAAGAGAAAAATGGGACCATACAATTTTGTTACTTATTTAATACTATTTAATATTATTAAAATCTTCAGTCACAAGATTGAGAGGATAATGGCCCATTTTCTATTAACTCAAAAGAAGAATGGAAAAGGGCTTGGAATTTAAACCCTGAGGGGTGTGTGTGTGTGTGTGTGTGTGTGTGTGTGTGTGCACGTGCTTGTTTATACATGTCTATGCATCACATTAAGATTACATCTTCCCAATTTTATGTAGCATATTGAATAGCAAGGGATCTATAACACTTTTGGGAAAACTTCAACGTTTTCCCATGTGATGTTTAGAATCTTTAAGTCTTCCATGAAGTCTTCTTCTCCATGTATTTCAGTGGCATTTTCTTGGTCATTTAGCATCAGGGGAAGGTCTGTCTCATTGCCCTCTTAGGGATTTGATTGTTCTCTATGTGGATAATATGACCTGCAAATTGAAGTCTTCTGCATGAGACGATGTTATGTAGTTTGAAGGAGTAACTCTTTTTAAGCATTTCTTCATTAAGAACACAGTCAAAAATAATGAATCTTAGGGTTCAGTGAAGGCATCTTTGCTGGAAGATGTCAAGTCTCTCATTAATACTTGCTTATGCCTTCCAGGTCTCACTGTCATAAATGGCAGTCAGGATCACTATAGAGAGGCAAGCAAAGAGAATTTAAGTTTTATTGATGTAGACAAGAAGGATGAATTTCGTAGAACAATATATTTTTTACATGATGACAATAGCACAGTCATTTCACTGTTTGCCATC